TCTTCATTCTGTCGTACAAAATAGTGGTCGATGCCTAATCGTTGAACAGCATCAATCATGGCCAAGCATTCAAATGAATCTGCTCCAACTTTTCCTAATATCTGCTTGAATACCTCTACCACTTCTGAATTTTCAAGGCAAGATTCATCCTGCATTATTTAATTAGGACAATGATCAACCACATATAAACCTCAAAAGGGTAATTGTAAAGAAAAAATTTTCGGAGAAACAAAGCTTACAGCAATGAAAGGTTGTGTAGACAGATAACTGAAGGTTTTTTGGGGTTTAGAAACGATTTTATGACATTGGGAAGTTGTAAACTTCGGGGCAGTAGGGAAAGAGGTAGGTGTAATCTTGAGGTTTATTTTCTTAATTTCTGAAATTTTGGTTCTGGGGATTGGAGTTTGGGATGAAACAATGATCAATGCTGAAGAAAACGAGGCCATGGATCAGATAATAATTTTTTAGTTAACGGAATATTTGTGATACTCTTAGGAGCAAAAGCTTTCATATTTATAATCGCCTTTGCCATGTGATGAGTTGAATTTGTATATATATTAATGTGGAATTGTTACCTTGATATTATTGATATTTGGATGAGTTTTATGAGATTTTACTAAATTTTATGAGATTTTACATAATTTTCATTCTTTGTGCAAAAAAGGATTTGAATGCACAAAAGAAGAGTTTTTGGGATTAATTGAATATCTTTTGAAAGTTGAGGGACTGAATTGCAAGAAGAAGGGCGCTTCTTTGGGACCTTAAGGAATGAATCTTGAGTTTTGGGATCTAAGCACTCATTGTACAAAAGCTGGAGGACAGATCTGTCATTTTACCATTTAAGAAATTGCAAAAGGAGGCTAGAAACTCGACACGAGTGTAGTGTCAACATGTAATTCGAGGTATCAACACCATGCGTTCAGCATCCAAATTTCAACTTTCTTATTTTGCTTCAAGTCCTACTTCTATTCCAATTAGGGTTTTTAAAATCCTATAAATATCTATCCAAATTCAGAATTAGAAGAGCTGGGTGAAGGCTGGTGGCAATCCTCTTTTGGGCATTCTTGAAAATCAAGAGAAAGGATTTAACAATAAAAGATAAAGGAGTTCGATTTCCTCAAATTGGGTCTTGTTTTTCCTTAGATTTTTATCTATTGTTTGATATTTGAATATTCATAACTATGATTTCAAATTTTATTATTTTTATTATGAACTGATTTATTCTACTAGAGCTACGATGTAGCCTAATCAATTCAATATAGATTTTGTGATTTTATGTTTTCAATTAAAGTTATTTGCATGAAGAGTTTATATTATTGAATTTAATGCATTGGAAGCCTGATCACCTTTCGATTGATTTACTGATTTATGCATGAACTTGAGAAAGAATTGCATAGATTAAACCAATAATAATATAAACCGTGTGCTAGACTATGAGACTGGGAGGTAATTAGCTCACATGTGGTAGTGGAGGAAGAGAAGAAAGTTAGGAGCTCCCCCTTTTTAAGCTAGAGGTTTCCATAGAATTTAATGCTCATTAGTTTGTTTAAAATTACATAGAAATATGATTAATTTAACAAACCAGTGAAGGATTAACTTGACTTGAGAAAGCAAGTTAGTTAATTTAGGAAAATCCGCCATCACATGCAATAACATTCAACAAATTAGCATATTAATCCAGAATTTATATTGATTGATTATGGTGAAATCAATGCCTTAGTACCTCATATCTCGGTTAGGTTTATTTTAATTGTTATTTTCTTTTTATTCTTTTTTAATTGAACTTTCTTCATTTTAGATTGTTCGAATAAATTTGGATTAATTATTTTGGTACTTAGTTAAACACAATCCTCGTGAGTTCGACACTCTATTTATCATTATATTACTTGGAGCAACTAGCATACTTGCTAGGGTGATTTTCGTGCATCACCATGAAAAAAAGAATCTTTAAAAACTTACAATAGTCAAATATAGCCATCAATTAACTCAAGGCTTAATGGCACCTCTTCAATGTGAAATCATATACCTAAATGTAAAAAGAACCTTGACATGTTAAAGAGTCAAAATTTGCTTGGTTTAAAATGGTATTATGTTGTTGGAGAAGGTGAGGATGGAAAGGGTGTCACTCAACTAACCTCTTGGAAGTTTGATGAAAAGGCTGTTAAGAGTGTTTTGGCTGAAATGATTATAAATTATGAGAATCCATTTAGCATTGTTGAAAAATTAGGATTCAAAAGATTTTGTGAAGCTGCTTTGCCCCCTAGTTTCAAGCTTCCCTCTAGAAGGTGTATAACCAAACTCTATTATGAAATCTATCTTGATAAGAGAGTGATCCTCATAAACTACTTTAGGGAATCAAAGCAAAAAGTCTCCTTAACAACTAGTACTTGGAGCTCATCAACCCAATTATCGTATATGAGTTAATTACCCATTTCATTGATGACAATTGGAGGTTGCATAAGAAAATACTTAATTTCTGCCTTGTTGGTTCTCATTAGGTAGAAGAGTTAGATGACTTAGTTGAAACTTGTTTAAGGGATTGGGGACTTGAGAAGGTGTATACAATAACTGTTGATAGTGCATCTTCTAATGATCAAGTTATGAGGGCGCTTAAGAATGCTTTAAACAAGTGGGGTACAAGTGTTCTAGGTGGGGATGAACTGCACATGAGGCGTGCAACACATATCATTAAATTGGTTGTACAAGATGGAGCCAAGTTGATGAATAATTCCATTGCTTCATAATTCCATTGCTTCATAATTCCATTGCTTTTGTGGAAGCTAGTTGCAAATATATTAGGCAGAGTTCCCAAACAAAAATGAGGTTCAAGGAGGTTGTTGAGGTTGAAAAAATTGACACCAAGAAGCTGTTGTCCTTGGATGTGCAACATAGGTGGAATTCTTTATACCTAATGCTTGATACTATAGAGAAGTTTGAAATGGCACTTGAAAAGTTAGTTTTATCCATTTGAGAAGTTTACTTGGCTTATTTTCATGTATTGTCATCATTTTATTAATTTAATTATATTCCTTTTATATTATTTTATTATTATAAATTATAATCAATCTAATAATTTAGTTTTTGTCTTGTATTTTCATATATTGCTATCATTCTAATAGTTTTTTGTTGTACAATTTGAAGGTATTCAAGGTATGATCCAACCATGAGGATTGAATTGAAATTTAGTCTCAAGTTCCCATCTTGTATCGATTGGGAAAGCATAAGGAGGCTAGTGATGTTTCTGGAACCATTTTATTTCATGATAGAGAAAGTTTCTAGAAGTTTGTATACCACTTCAAACTTATATTTTCCAATAATTTGTGAAGTGGACAGGCTTCTTAAACTGTGGGGAAATGATGCTAATTTGAGTCAAATGGTTACGAAAATGAAGGATAAGTATGACAAGTACTGAGGTGATCCTTTGAAGATGAATAAGAACATCTTCATTGCTATAGTTTTGGACCCAAGGCACAAGCTTGGCTTTGTGTAATTTTTGATGGTAAGGATGTTTGGTGAGGTTAAGGGTACAGCTTATAAGGAGATGGTGAAAGCTGAATGCTTCAAGTTGTTTGTAGCATACAAGCACCAACACTATTCTAACAATGTATTGGAAAGGTTAGCATATTAGTTTTGGTTTAAAGGGATGATTCTTTTATGTTGCTCTTTATAATTTATAGTTAAAGGTTGGAATATTATAAATTTTAATTATATAACTTAACTAATAGT